ACACCTGTTTATTTCACCTGATAATTAAACACCCTAACGCTACCTGGGGGGGCTGGATGGGTTATGTTAGGTTAGGTTAGGAATAAATTAGGTTAGGTTAGCGTGTTTAATCATCAGGTGATATAAGCTAGGGTACCTAATCTTCACGTGAACCAACAAAACAACTCAGACTACAAAAGTGTCTCTCTAAAACTGATCTTTACCCAATTTCTCTCTCTAAAACACATCAGTATTCCCCAGGGACATCCGGCTTATACTGAGGGTGGCCAGAGTATGCGGCTCCTGGCCCTTGACGGAGACCGGGGACAGAAAAACGGCAAAAATAACACCAAGGAAGAAAGAAGGAAAAATAGTCAGAATAAGAGAAGATGCTTGGGGCGAGGAGGCAAGGAAGAAAGAAGAGGAGGAGATGGAGGATAAGACAATTCCGTCAGTAGTAACACATCACAAGAATCGTCAGGAAATGTGCTGGAGGTCCTACCCACCTTACCTAATTATTTTCATGACTGTCATACACACCTGGTGTTTACTCTATCATGTCGTCAACAGCTACCTGCTCTTCGGTGACGATAAGTATGTCGTTAGACTATTGCTGGATAAGGTTAGGTTAGATTAAGTGAGGTTAGGTTAAGTTAAGGTGTGTCAAATTGGAAGATGAGTGTGTGTGTGCGTGAGTGTGTGTGTCGACATCAAGAGGCAAGTATATTTCGACCATAGGTGACGTATCGACCAACTATATCATCATGTCCATTAGCGCCATCGATTAGAGGTGAGGGTCATCGGCCGCAGGTACAGTAATTCTAAAATATAGTGCCACCATCAACAGTACAAACAATGCCATACAAAACCGCTGAGTGCCACTCATATGATGATCATAAGCAATTAAACTCATGTTGACACGACCTCATTCCCGATAACTCGAGTTGCACCTCTCAGGAAACACACACAGAGGGTACGTGTTTATGGTACTTGTGGTCACGTGGGGTTTAAACTGACTATTATTTTGTTAAATTCATATTGGGGTGAGGTGGGTGGGGTGAGGTGGGGTGGGGTGGGGTGAGGTGGGGTGAGGTGAGGTGGAGGGGTGAGGTGAGGTGAGGTGGGGTGGGGAGGTGGGGAGGTGAGGTGGGGTGGGTGAGGTGAGGTGGGGTGGGGTGAGGTGGGGTGGGTGAGGTGGAGGTGGGGTGGGAGGTGGGGTGGGGTGAGGTGGGGTGGGGTGGGGTGAGGTGAGGTGGGGTGAGGGTGGGGTGGGGTGGGGTGGGGTGAGGGTGGGAGGTGGGGTGAGGTGAGGTGGGGTGAGGGTGGGGTGGGGTGGGGGGTGGGGTGAGGTGGGGTGGGGTGGGGTGAGGGTGAGGTGAGGTGAGGTGGGGTGGGGTGAGGTGAGGTGAGGTGGGGTGAGGTGGGGTGAGGTGAGGTGAGGGTGGGTGGGGGAGGTGAGGTGAGGTGGGGTGGGTGAGGTGAGGTGGGGAGGTGGGGTGAGGTGAGGTGAGGTGGGGTGGGGTGAGGTGGAGGTGAGGGTCTGGTAGGGTGGGTTACGTAACTTTAGGTTTATTTATGACAAGTTGGGTTAATTTAGTTTACATTAGATTGGGTTAGGTTATTTTAAAGAAGGTTAAGTAGGTTTTGGTGAGGTTAGGATAAATTAGGTTATTTTAGGTTAAATTAGATTATGTTAGGTTAGGTTAAGTTAGGATGGGCAATAAATAGACACGGACTTAGGAATTGAACCCTATGAATGCTCTTTACAATTCAATAACGGACCATTTATATGAAGAGGCGAATGAAAACAAACCGGCGATCTTAACGCTAGATGATCGACTTCCTTAAAAAAAAAAAAGTTTCTCCCTCACTCCCAAGATATGCCACCACTATTCTCCCTCCCGTCGTCTGCTACCAACACCCTCCCTCCTAGTCTACGCCACCACCACCTTTACCCTAACGTCTGCCTCCTCTTAACACCCATAACCCCGAGTCTTGGCGCAATAATAATCCAGATCGAGATTAAAAAAAAATAATCTGTAAACTTTATATCCTAAAATTATAAGGATTCATTCTGGGTACACAAAACTATACCTCTTCGAAGCTCCGAATCTCGTCTCTTAAGCGAATGAAACAACGACTGAACCACCTCGACACCAAGTTTAACTCTAGCCTTTAAGGTCTTGACTATTTCTAATAATGTAGAATAAATGGCCTTACCTGAGATATGGGCGTTCCAGTATCAGTGTCGATCAACCTTGATGGCCTTGTATACAATTCCCTCACACGCATATCACACATTAAATAGCTTTTCCTTATGTTTTTCACTGTGGCAGCTCACTAGACGTGCACCGTCCGTTCTCACTCAGGGATTCAAGAGCACTGACGTGTCCACCAAAGTTTATGTTGTGACTGTCAGTTGGAAGCCGACATAACAATCACTCTGATGGTTGTAAAGTTGTTGTTGTAATGTTAACAGATTAATTTTTGTATTTATTTATTTTGTCTTATTATCGTTTCACTGTTCTATTGTTACGTACAGTGTGGTTGAACACATAAGGCTAAGTTGGGTTAATTCTAGTTACGTTCTGCTGATTTTTGGTTAGATATTGTCCGAGATGTTTCGTTATCAAGCTATTCTTTGCCGTACCAATTTAACGATACGGTATTAGAACTATCAGTAACAGCGAAAATGTTATCTCGAGGTCCAAGTCGTTGATATTCTGATATTGTAACGTTATCCTTTCCCTATAACGTAACGGATTGAGCTTCTTGTTTTTTTCTTATCACACCATATTATTTAGTGTTTATCTTATGCTTTAAGTGTTTTTATCTTCTTTTATGTTCAAGTAAATTATTCTATCTCATCTCTTGGTACTTTTGTTACATATTAATACCTTGCGTACATGGCCAACCACAGGAGTACGATAATATCTTAACATTGAGTACGAAGACTTGATTACTGAAGTGAGTTATTTTAAGCCCTTATATGCGATTCCTTATGCCCTTGAATACCCGTTGAAGATGACACACACACACACAGACACACACACACAGACCGGTATAATGTATAAGTCTGAAGTCAGTCTTCTCAATCATGCCTGCACTCTTCCCACACCCCCGCTGGTCGTGAAAATATTGACTAAGCTTCCACAAAACACCTGTCCTATCATCAAGGTCAATAGGCAACCAGAAGAAATATTTACACTAAGGTATTGAAGCTCTGTGAGCAGAGAGATATTCTTCTACCCTCGTCCTCTCTCTTTCCTGAATAACGTGGAAAGAATACTCGAGAAACTCTGGGATACATGACGTGTGTGTGGGTGTGTGATGGTGGATGCAGATTGCCCGGACCTTGGTGAATAGGGCCATGAATGAGAGACAAGAGAAGGTAAAAACGTGTGGTGTTGGTCTCGTGCTGGTCTGCTCTGAGCTGTGTAGGATAGTGGAGTGACTCATATCTAAGGGGGAGTCTAGGCACTGGTCCATATCTGAATATCAACAAGAATAACTTGGTTTAGGTGTGTGGCTTAAACAATTCAAGAGACACGTAAAGTAACCCTTTCTATTCTAACCTGAATTGTGAAAAAACGACCTACAGCCTCTCTTACCACCGGGGTGAAGCAAGGCTGTTACCTGTCTCCCACAATTCTTAAACTTGATTGTTATTCATAATGTATGCTTAATCAATCTGAGGGAGACAAAAACTCAAGTGTTGGTCATGAGCCAATGAGCTTTGAGGTATTTATCCCAAATCCTAGTTTTATTTCGTAAGGTAATGACGAGTAGTTAAGCTTATGGAACTATTGGGCCAAGACCCGAACACTAATCGTGAACCCTTTAGAGGATAAGACCTGTATTACGTGATGAGTTGAGGGTGGGCAGTAGTCCTGGGTGTTTGATCCACTTGTGAATTATGAAGTAGTGAAGCTCCGAGGTTTAAACTTTGAAGATCAGGCTTTTCACTATGTACAGTCATCAAAAACATTTTCTGTATCTTACGGTGTTATACTCGTACATTATGACACACGGGGCTAAAAATTCTGAACAACACGGATTTTATATGTATTCCTGCTAATTTCTCTGTAGTAACTATACGTGATATACAAAATGCACCGTATTGGCTATACAATGCATCACACAATCAGAAGTACCAACTTTACCCAGTCAGTGCAGGGGTGCAGAACAGTTTTCTTTATTGACTATCTACAGTGAAGTAATGAAGTATCTCCCCAACTTCAGCCGAAGTATAATGAAACCTGATCGCCCAACGTAGTGAATGGTATCCCTGGCGACTCCTTTTCCAAGGTTACACAGGCCTGCCAACTGTTTATGGGCTCCACATGTGCGTGTGTCGACCGTTGTGTGATGTATTCGTCAAACCCCGGGAAGATAATACAGTGTCTCTCTAAACCTTTCTTTTATGACACAAGAAACATGTTATACTCCTGCTGTCTTCACTTCTGACGAATATTTAGTTCTGTACTGAAGGCAGTCATTAAATTGATCACTATATATGCACCACAGACGTCAATTGTTATCACTGCAGGCACCACTCCCCTTCACTACTGTACTGATAAGGTCACCATTGTCACCAAACACCCTCGCCGCTATATTGGTCACTCCGCTCACCACTGACTGACTTCTTTCCTCACTAGGCTGATTACGTCACAGAAGCTGGCTAGTTTGCCGTGGTTTGGCAGTTGCATAGTGCCGTGGACGTGCGGTATTCTGATGCTGATGAGGGCCAGTGAGTCTTAACTAAGGTTTTGTTTGAGTACAGAACAATTGAGGGAGAGATAGAGGCAGAATGAGATGAGAATGAGAGAGATAGATTGAGAGAGAAAGATTAGGCAATTCCTACATTCTTCACGTCCATAAATTCGCCCTACTCTTTTCTCTAAGTCACCCTCTTTCCTCCTGAGCTCCTCCACTCTCTTCTTGCAAATGTTCTTCTCACAGGGAAGGCCGCTGAGTTCTTAGACTCATGGCGCGCGGTTGAGTACCATCTTAATCGCCACATGCTGTGCCTGGCGGAGGCTAAACTCCGCGTCTGCATCCTGATTGCATACGTCTTCATGGCCCTGGCGTCCTTCGGCGTTCTCTGCTATCAGTTCATCATCGATGAGGAATCCTCCGTCTACTTTGGTGAGCCAAGTTCATTGTTCTGCAGCTAGAGGCCTCGATCTTGTGAGACCGAAACCCACAATGAACCATTTTAAAGCTTTGTACAGCATCTCATAAATTTCAAGATGTGGTAGTATGAACCCTGTGTTTGGCAACTGATGCCAAAATCTCTTGTTGGTGAGACCAGGTCACTCTCCATTATCCCTGACACAGAAGTGATGGTTCGCTTGATATATGAAATGCGCGTACTGAGGTGAGATGCATGAGGCTTTTACTCTGCAACTTGCTTTTCTGTATGTCTGTCACTTTGTCTTACTGGAGATTATTAATAGAATGAAGCAAAAGTATCCAGCTTAGAGGAAAATTTTTAAAGTATTCTTAACTGATTTTCTTTGGATTACCTTATTAGTTTTAAGAGAAAAAAATGTTTTTCCAACTGGTATTTGTGTTGGTGTCGTAGTAAGCAGACTAAGTACCTAATGTAGCACTTTACATCGAAGGTCAACTTTTCTTGTCTCCCCACAAAGTAAGACTGAGTTTCAGTCATAACCAGATGTGTGTTCGGTCCTGGGTGAGGAGGAGCAGCTGTGTTGGCCAATATATTCTAACATTTTCGTGTGTGAATGTTTCTTCGACTTGGTTTATTCAGGACCTAAGGTTTACTGACCTACATAAATATGAACATTTGATAAAAACTGTAGTTTTTATATTGGCTCGACTTATAATTCTCCAAATCATGAAGTATCTAAAAAATCACCTAACATCTATAATGTCATGACAGGTAACCTGGTGTCCCCGCCCTGGTCCTGGCCGTTAAATGTGCTGCAGCACGTCTTTGTTCCGTTCACATGGGCCGGCTACCTGGTGCCCGAGGCTCTCGTCATGGTCGCCTCCCACCACATCGCCACCTACTACCGCTCTCTCAACACCTTCCTCGGCGAACACTTCCAAAAGTGGGTCCAGGCAAGAAGGTCCTCGCTCTTGGCTTATCGCTCAGACATGACAACGAAGAATGTGAGTTTTGAACTTGGTGATTTTTTTTTTTAAATTTCAAGACTCGTTTCAAATGCAAGTACAGTATGTAATGATCATCTCCGAATTTGTGCAATGTGACCTACAGTTAGTAAATGTATAAAATCTTCTTTATCATACCTTTCCTCAGAGCTTTGCAACCCAAAACAACACCGGCATATACAGCCACACGGACCACGAAACTCCACCATTCCCTAACTCCTTAAGCATCGCATCTGTCTCCACCGTCACATCTGCCTGTGACTGCCACCAACAAGCACAAGATAGCCAGCGTGAGTACTTGAACAAGTTACGGGAGACGTGGAGCCTGTACGAGGACGTGGGAGACTTCTTGGGCAAATTCAACGCCCTTTTTTCGCCCATCATTCTCATAAACCTCGCCTCCTTCTTGATTATGACCTGCACACTTCTCATCCCTGTGCTGAAGGTGGGTGTCTTACGCAGGCCAAGACTACATGCTTCAGTAAGTGTTGTGACAGTCTACACTTTTGCTTTATTACTCGAACTGATTCATTCACTGTCTCACGAAACTACCCACGGACTTTAGATTCTGTCACTTAAGGTTCTAGACTGTGTCACTTATGGCCCATATATCGATTCATCCACACTGGTTCACTCACTACCCCTAGATCAAGTCACTTACAGATTTCTAGCTGAATCGTTTCGAATATCAGACCGAGTCTCTTATTACTCTCAACAGATTCACTTAAACGATGATCCAAGGAACAATAAATAAAGGAAAGGAAAGGACATAACGAAAGAGGATAGGTTAGGTTAGGGTTCTGAGTACACTAGTCCGTTTTCATCAACAAACCATTTCGAGAGTTCTTACCTTTTAAACTGGGAAACAGAACCCATCAGCTAAGTCATCAATAATATGGCAAATCTAGAGAGAAACTTTAAGGGGTCAAAATCTTCACGTTTTCTGTTACAATAATATCCAGGTAATCTTACTCCTGGCCCCGGTGTTGAGGAGGAAGAGGCCGCAGCTCCCCCAATGATAAGGAAGAACAGGAAATTAAACCAAGGCACAGGAGAGAGATATAACCCGAATTATCGGTAGTAACTCGGCAATGTAAACGCCTTGTGCATTCTACTGGGACGGAGACTATTTTCAACACCGGCTATTAAGCTGATGTTGCTTTCGTCACTAGTCTTCTCTGGGATTGTCAAGACGAGGTGAGATATTATAACCACAGTTGTCGTGGGTTTCTGGTATAAAAAAGTTTCCTGCATACCGTCATAGTCTTCCGTGTTGGATTGTAAGTATGGATTAGCGATTTTCTGGCCCCCATTTTTTTTTATCCTAATGCATTTTATTTGTCACAATTTTCAATAAGACACACGGATTTTTCAACACATTTCTACTAATAATTCTAACAGACGGGTATTTTTTTTTCTATTCCAACACCATAAAATTTTAGCAAATAATTTCTACAAAAAAATTTATATTTATTTGTATTTAATCGTCGTCACCTCCACCAGACTGACGACGCTCTCTCTCACATCGGGTACCTTGGTAACGCTGCCTTCTACGTCATCCGCTTGCCCGCCCTCATCCTGGTCCAAGCCTGTGTTCATAACCAGGCCTCCCATACTCAGGTCGTGGTGAGTGCTGTGTTGGTGTCAGCTAAGACTTGTAGATCCTATGTTGATATCAGCTAAAACTAGTGGATCCTCTGTAACAATCAGCTAAGTCTCATGGCACTTACTTAATCCTGCCCTTGGTAATATTTCACTTCACGTTGCTCAATTCCTTTACGACAGTTAGTTCCCTTATCTAACCACAATGTTCCAGGGACTTCTCTTCATTCACCTGTGTGTCTTGTAGGTGGGTCGTGGTCACGCGAATCTCGTCATGACTGGGTTCTACCTGAGGGACCTAGACGCCATCCTCGCGCAACTCTCTGCTGACGAAGGGCAAGGAGTCAGCGCCTGGGGGTTCTTCTACGTGACCAGAGAATCCCTACTGACTTTCCTCTCCATCATGGCATCGTACGTGGTGATTATGCTTCAATCCTAAGACACGAACAGGAAGAGGCGGAGGATGATGAAGGGGATGAAGAGGCGGAGGATGATGAAGGGGATAAAGAGGCGGAGAGTGATGAAGGGGATGAAGAGGCGGAGGATGATGAAGGGGATGAAGAGGCGGAGGATGATGAAGGGGATGAAGAGGGATGAAGAGGCGGAGGATGATGAAGGGGATGAAGAGGCCGAGGATGATGAAGGGGATGAAGAGGCGGAGGATGATGAAGGGGATGAAGAGGGGATAGTATTTAGCGGAGGAAGAAGTGGGAAGGTGAAGACAAGGATAATAATAAGAGAATGACAGGGGAAGAAAGGGACAGGAAGAAAAGGGAAGAGGAGTGAATTACCAAACATGAAAGAGAAAACAACACAAACAAATTAACTAAATAATAATGATAATAAAATGATATAAAATATGACTTAAGTAAGAGTAATAATATCAATACTAATAATAATACTAATAATGTCATTTGTCATAAGAATAGTATTCATAAATGCTACACCTACTACTATTACTACTACTACTACTACTATTACTACTACAACTTCTACTACTACTACTCAAACTACAAATACTACTACGACTACTGCTATTAATGATAATATTGATAAAAGTAAGTGTTTATGGGAAGGAATTACTTTTTATGTTGCCAGCAGAAAATAAAGTTGTTGCTTGTGAATTCTTGACTTAGAGCCGTTTACTAATTAATCATTCGAAGACGATAGTTTGAATTATCATCCATATTGTTCCCAGACGATCATTCTAAGAATTAAACATCAATGCTATCATTAAGGAGTTAAACTATCATATTAAGGGGTTAAACTATCGCCTTCAAGGTATTAACTCATGAAACTAATGTCTTCACGGATTAACAAACACCTCGTCAAATAAAATTTATATTTACTGTATTGCTTTAAGGTTAAAATAACAAGATAAGATAGATTTAATTCCCAACATGTAAACAATTAAGAAAGTCTTTGGGAACTCAAGCAAGTTATAAACGAACTTACGGAAACGTGAGAATTTATAAGAAAAAAAATTCCGATATGAAAAATGAAAAAAAAAAAAAACTGAAATAGTGATGGAACTGTCAAGACTTAGAGGTGATATCTCGGACATCCAACCAAGAAGTAGAGTTACTGGCTTCGATGGTATTCCTGAGTAATGGCGTATAGAAGAGGCGAAGATACAACACATGATTTGAAGGCTGCTCCCTAATGAGTGTCCCAGCTGCATGAACAGGTCAACCCTAAAACTTGGTTAGTCTCAGCCGGTTACTTTATGAGGAGATATAAACCGAACATCTACAATGAAGCAGAAGGTAAGATTATCGTATCTAAAGCCTCCAAAAATTGGGGAACCTGTGTCTTTCATAGCGAGTACCTGTACCCCTAAAAATGTTGCGGAGAGCCTCTATCAAAGCCCGAACTTGAAACTGGGTAAAGTAGAGGCATGTTACTAATATATAATGTTCTGTGAGAAGGAGCAGAAAATAAATACATAGTCATGCATCAGTATCATTTATTTCAACTTCAGCTGCAGTGATGGGATAATGTCTTCAGCTGTTATCAGACAATACAGGATATTTTAAGAATCATCAACTACTACAACTATGGTCCTCAGCAACTGTGATCTTAAGCATCTCATAAACTAAGCACAACCTAGTCCGTCAACCTGCAGTTTGTGTACATTTTCTTACCAGAAGAGGTACGGCACATAATTTTAACATCGTAAGACAAATACTGCACAGATGTTGTGACCAACATTATATTAGTGTACAATTGTAATTATATTCAACAAAATGTTTATGAACATCAATAACAACAGGAAAAGTGAAAGTCCAAATGTCAATAGTTGTTCCATCCTAAATCATCTGAAGTTGACTTTCATCTCCATCTTGGTGAGGATAGTGAGTCTTACTCGTGGCGGTGGACGTGTTCGTTGTGGTTGAAGACCTTGACGATGGTCTCCCCGAAGTTGGGGATCTCGTGGAAGAGGCGCTCGTCAGGTACGCGACGGTCCAGTGGGTAGCCGTGGGACTTCTTGTCCAGGTACACTCCGTGGTGACCGTAGTGGTGGAACTTGGTCGTCAAGTTGATTTCATCATTGACAGAGTCAGCCTCACCGTCGGTCACAGCCACCACCAACTTGAACTCTACACCAGCCGCGTTGCCCTTGGGTATGAGCAGCCTGTTGGGCAGCCCAGTAGCGCTCACGAACTCCTCAAGGTTCAATTCACTGATTCCGGCAATCGCTGCTTCGGCCTGTTCATGCAAGCTCTTCAGGCTGGGCACGTCAGGTACCGTCACTGAGGACTCATCGCACTTGCGGGTAACTTCGTTCTCGCCAGGTGCCACTGAGGAGGAAAACCATATGATGTACAGTTACTGTGAGATCGTCACAGCGGTGTTAATAGAAATATCCTACTAAATCCATTAATATATAATCTATAAATCTATATCGATAATGTAGCAGGCTTGTCCTAATAAGTAAAACGAATTTCATACTTACGGTATTTCCAGAACTTGTCTAGTTCAATGGCGTGCCAACGACCCTCGTTGAATGGCATGATGACACCATTAACGTCACGATGTGGCCAGGCGAAGATGCGGATTGTGGCCAACTTGTTCTCATCATTATTGTTCATTATGTTCACTTTGAAGGAGAAATCCTTGTGCCTCAGACGTGGGATAATGGCGCTTATTTCCATGTTATCCTCCCATTTCATCTCCTCCTTGTCATCCATAGCATTCATGAGGCTGTATTCATAATCTTCAAAGTAAGTCTCCAAGGGACCATCAATGTGTATATTGTTGATGGCTATACCAGGGAACAAAAGCTCCTTCCGGCTATAAGGTTTAAGATGGTCTTTATGTTTCCTGAAGAGGTCGTCGATGTACTTGTGCAGCTTGTAGAAGGCGGGGTCACGGAGGGTGGTCTCATAGTGCTCCAGGACACTGGGAGTATCGTAGTACTTGGCATGGGGGTCACCCTGGTGACCAAGCATCATGTGACCCATGTTGTGTAGGGAGCCGTAGTATTCATTATAGGGGTTGTACACACACGACTCAATGATTTCACCCAGGATGTCAATACCGTGTTCGTTATTGATGTCCACCTTGTTACCCTCCTTGTCGATGACGTAGCCGTGAGCGATGGCATCACGGATGCGGTTCTCCATCACGATCATGTCGCGCACCTCAGCAACCTTGTCCACGTCCTCGATATGGATGTCATCATGACGGAATGGGAAATGTTCGCCATTTTTGTATGAAGTGTGGGGGTCGAAGCCTTCATGGAGATTCCTTTCCCAATGAAGCTTTTCTATTTTCTGAAGGTGGTTGGAAATGCGCTCGGCTTCAAAGCGGTTGACCAGCTGGTGATGAACCCAGAAGTAGTTCTCGCCTCTGCGTTCAATCTGATAACCAAAAGTCTCATTCCACCAGAAGGGATATTCAATATGCCAATTGATGTAGTGGGTACTGAGGCCGATATCCTCACCGAAGTAAGCTATTTTATGTTCAGGGTTATTCTGCGTGCCTGTAAAGTTCATGTTAAATTTGCCTGGTTGGCCAATCATCTTGGCCCTGTAAGCTTGTTGGATTACTTCGCTGCTTGTGAAAAAGTGTGGCATGATCTCATAGAGAGGAGGCAACACAACGTGCTTAGTGAGTGGGGAGTGTTTGATAGCTGTGTACAGAGCGTAAACATACGTCTCCTCGTTCATCATTTTACGGAAGTAAACAGCGTTGCCAATAGCTGTTGGCCAGTCTTGGCACTGTAATAGAACCTTTACAAGCAGCAGTGCTTCCTCGCGCTGAGTGGCGTTAAACACTGAGAACCAGTGATGCCTCTCCTCCAGATGTTGAGTCTTGACCTCCTGCATGAGTTTGTTGACGGCTACACCAGCATCAGGCATGTTGGCAGTGTGGGTCAGTGGGTCAAAGGAATCTTCCAGGGCCTTCAGGTTGGCCTCATGCAGAGGCTCGTACAGCTTGTGGAGGAGGAAGTTGATGTCGTGCTGCTTCTGTGCTGTTGGTACACCTGAGACACATGTGAGAATGTCAACATTAGATTAAATATTGTGTTGTAACGCTAAAAAATTTTGCATGAAGATTTGATGAACATGAACTTGTTTAAAATGTATACAGATATGGTTACTGTAAAACTTATTTTACAAAGACGTCTAGGAAGGCTGTGTGCGGATGCCTTGACATATAGGATTTTCATCATACGTTTGTTTTGGGACAATATGAAAATGCTTTGGTGGAATTTAACAGCTTTAGTACTACGGTTCAGACAATGAGCGTTTGGTGTGTCTTGGAAAGTCAGTGGATATACTCACCATCAGGTTCATCTCTCTGGAAGCCACTAAAATCATGGCTACCTGAGTAAGGCGAGGCGGCGGCGGCGGCAACCACCAGTGAACACAACAGCACGATCTTCATGATGCTGATGATGTCCCAACACTGCTCGCGCCGCCTTATATACCTGCTGAGCCTCCACCACCCTCCCTCGTGCCCTCCCCCTCTTCCTGCCTTGTCCCTCCCCCGCGTTTTCAGTCTGTAAGGTTTTGTGATAACAGTTTCTAGGTAGAACACCGGCAGCTTCTTCTGTTAGCTTCTCTCTCTCTTTATCGTCGCTGTTAACCTGTTGAAGACCTCGAATTGTCTCCCTTAGAACTTTCTTTCTCTCTACTATCTTCTCTCTCTTTGTTTCTGTTATATCCTATCTCTCTATCATACTCCTTCTTTCGTTTTTCTTTCTATCATCCTCCCTCTCTTTATCATATTCCCTATCACACTCTGCATCATTGTCTCTATCGTTTACTGTCTCTCGCTCTATCTTTTTCTCTCTCGTCATTTTTTCTATCATTCTATCGTCTTCTCTCTCTCTCTCTCTCTCTCTCTCTATCTCTCTCTCTCTCTCATTGTACTTCCCACTATTTCTTTTTTATGTTACCTTTCTTTGATTATATTTTCCAATAGCATATTTCTTTCGACTGTGTGTGTGTGTGTGTGTGTGTGTGTGTGTGTGTGTGTGTTCGCCTTGTGGAGATGTAAGTATATCCAGTTGTAATGTGTATGTATGTGTGCATTGCCTATGAAAATATGATCTATGACTGTTAGTGCGAGTGCATGAATGTTCTAATGACGTTTGTGTGCGTATCATGTTTGTGTACGTATGTAATGATTGTTGTGATTGTTATATTTGTGTACGGCTGGTAAATTTTTGTGTGTATATGCTATGTGGATGTACATTTATATTCATGTTGGTTATATATGTATGTATGTAAGTATGTATGCATGTATGTATGGATGTATGTATGTATGTATGTATGTATGTAAGAGCCGCAGGAAGAGTATTTGTATGTGTAATGAGGCTTGATGGCCCCTTAGAGTTAGTGTGAGGTGGTGGTGGAGAGGAATGTGTGATGGTGGTGGTGGTGGTGGTGGAGGAGTGTGGTGGTGGAGAGAGGAATGTGTGGTGGTGGTGGTGGTGGAGAGGAATGTGTGATGATGGTGGTGGTGGTGGAGAGGAACGTGTGGTGGTGGAGAGGAATGGTGGTGGTGGTGGTGGTGAGTGGTGGTGGTGGTGGTGGAGAGAGGAATGTGGTGGTGGTGGAGAGGAATGTGTGTGGTGGTGGTGGTGGAGGAGATGTGTGATGGTGGTGGTGGTGGAGAGGAACGTGTGGTGGTGGTGGTGGTGGAGAGAGGAATGTGTGGTGGTGGTGGAGAGGAATGTGTGATGGTGGTGGTGGAGAGGAACGTGTGGTGGTGGTGGAGAGGAATGTGTGGTGGTGGTGGAGAACGACTGTTGTAGATGCTTTAGTAGATCTTTATACAGAGAGCAACAAACATACTATATATCCCTAGAAATTAAATCGAATAAAAACAAAACGAAAACAATGGCTAATAAAACAGAATAATGAAAGATAATGGAAATAATAAAGCGAAAAGAGACCAGTTAAAAATAGTGAAAATATCAAAATTACGAAAAAATAGCAAAAAAATAATAATAAAAATACCAAAAAAAGGATAAAATATAATAAAATTGTCAAGAAATATAAATAATAAGTACAGTACAAAAATAATAAAATAATTAGAAATAAAAATTACAAACCATCAATCGACATAAATGAACTATAACGATACATAAACTAATAAGAATTATAAGTACACAATAAAATATTTATAAATAAACCCAAAATGATAAAATACAATACAAGGGGTGGAAGGAGGCGGAGGAGGAGGAGGAGGAGGAGGAGGAGGAGGAGGAGGAGGAAGAGGAGGAGGAGGAGGAGGAGGAGGAGAGGAGGAGGAGGTAGAAGATTATCAGCTGTCATGACCTACCCCTCACCCCCCCTTCTATCCCACCCACCAAAACACCACACGTCTTGGTCGGCTAAGTTGGGTGATGGCGTCAGATAGGGTGATTCTTAATCTTGTCTTTTGATTGGCTAGACTGGAAGAGGTGCCAAGGTACGTAATATTTTTTTTTTTTATCTTCAAAAATCTTATGTCAGTAAGTGGGTGGGTGTGTCCATCTTGAGTTTACGAGAGACAAAACAGATTGAGGGTTATGGGGCTTGATCTAAGAAGTTGGGGGAGGAGGGGAGGGGAAGGAGGGCTGGGGAAGGGGGGAGGGGGAAAAGGGAGGGTGGAGGCGTCGGTAGTTAGTGCCCTCTGAAAAAAAAAATTATCTACTGGAGAGCCACTCTGGTGAATTCCTGAAGTAGAGAAGTCACCTTGAAGTTGTGTATCCTAGGTAAAAATAAGAAGAAAAAACCCCCAGACACTCAGATATGTACCTTACGTTAAATGATTTATTTTCTTATTTAGTCTTTTTTTTTTTTACCTAGTTCACACACCCGCGTCTGGCTTTTAAACCAATGACAATACAATACTGTTTCTATTGTGATTTTGTTTCTTAAAGTCGACGTAACAACTCCCAGTACTTAAGAAACATCGACGACATAGTCTAGAGACACAGTGAATATAAATAACCATAATGCTTAGGTGTTTCATCACTTTATAGGACTCTTGGATTCAATAAGTACAGTGTCTGGTAACGAATACTTGGTGAGAAAAGGGGGAATTGAAGAAAATTGTACGAAGATTAAAAATGATTTACTTAGGAGGTTCTTTTCCCATCAGTAATGTTACACTGGCAATGAAAATATTAAACGTTCAGGATGGAGTACCTCAGGATGACACTATCACCCCACAGTCTTTTATAATAGTATTGGAGAGGGAAGTTTTAAGGTCATTTAGTGGCGGTAAGGTTAGGTTAGGTATAACAGGTGTAAATATCATGAGTACCTATATGATTTACCTTCGTTTCGTTGTTGATATTAAAACATTTATATCTAACGTGGCAGAATCATGAACAAAAAGATTTGAGCTGAACAAAACAAACAACGAGGAGGAGTTGGAAAAAAAAAACGAAAACTAAATACATTGTTTATAATTCAAGTTTCCCAGCCAACAGAGGAAGATTATTTAATAAACATATCAAGGGCAATTGGCCTCATTGTGTAAAAATCAGTCAGGTTACATAAACAAAGGTAAAGTGCGCTGGTTCTCCTCTGAAAATTCAAGGGAGAGAGAGAGAGAGAGAGAGAGAGAGAGAGAGAGAGAGAGAGAGAGAAATCATTATCCTAAATAATGGTTTAGGACGTGAAATAAGTCTGCCAATAGGAACAAAATAACCAAACAAAGGAGTATAGATAACTATGTGCGACGCGTAACACATAATGGCACCAAAGAACTTGTTAGATCTCTCACTAAAGAAGGAGATATTATTGAAGGGTCTAAGACGTTAATTACAGTGGCCAGACTATATAAACAGTTAACAGAGGGTGATCGACCGGACCCCAAGAAATAAAACAAAGACCCAGGAAAATACCAACAACGAGAAGTGTAGACGAGACCAGGAAATAGGGAGACGCCCATCGATAGGGAAGATTAAAGAGGAGACCATCAGGCAGCAGTGAACTCATTTTATATAAGACATTGTATAATATAATGCTTCAATAAATAAATCAGCCTAGGTCATTGTCTACATAGTTTGGTCAGGTGGACTCGTGAAGAGTTGTGCCTCATGCTGTGTTCATAATGTTCACGAAAGCACACTCCACGTGATGGTCACACACACTATCTAATAAGCTAAGGTCAACAGTGTGATAGACTCAGCACCTTCACTGAGGACAATACAGTTGCTAGGTAACAGTAATCGCGGGCATAAAAATATACCAACAACTGTGTTGGTCGCCGGTAACATACTGACCCCCACCACTTGATCTGATCATCGAGAATAAACACTTACGGTGGAGTAAAAACTTTGACAATTAGGACTTTTTTTTCTTTTGATCGAATCGATTTTGCGTTTGTTCAGTTAACTTCACGAGTTGTGAGGTGTATGTGTTGCAAGGTATGTGCTGTAAAGTCGATGTGTTGTACAGTGTATGTTTTATACGGTGTAGAATGTGTTGTAAGGTGTAAATGTTGTGATGTGGATGCGTTGCACAGTGTATGTGTTGTAAGGTGTATGTGTTGTAAGGTGTATGTGTTGTAAGGTGTATGTGTTGTAAGGTGTATGTGTTGTAAGGTGTATGTGTTGTAAGGTGTATGTGTTGTAAGGTGTATGTATTGTCAGACTGCTGTAAAATAATCAGTAACCCACACGTACAGTTCGAGCCATATCATCATGCATAAAGCTGCCATCATCAGAAGTCATTATTAACGTGTCTGTAGTCCACTAAATAACTAACAGAAGCCGTGGTGATGGGCGTAGGTCAGAGTCTACTTGTATAATTATCTTTATATGCCACATCACTATACATAATTATAGACCGTACATCTGTCTCGCATTATACTGTAATACTAACCTTGTATTTTTATCTTCCTTCCCCAGAGTTTAATTTTAAGGTCCCTCAATCAGTCATGTTCCCTTCAGATGGTTCACTGACACTTAACCTCCCTTTGTCCATCACAATAATTGATAAATAAAAAGAAAACAACAGACTAAATTCTACTTTACTCTCTAGTCTTCAACAGCTGTTTCTTGACTGACATAACCCACAACTCAGAATGTTCTTTTGGGGGATCAGGAAGACGTCTCTCTGGTAATTTTTAATATCTGATGTTTACTGTAAGATGTAACTTCTAGTACACGGTTAAACACCTTTGTTGATGAGGTTTAGTAATACTTTATAACATCAACAATATCCTTGGGGGAATAAAAACGCTCTAGATTTTGATTCGAATTCTCTCTTTCACATCACTTCTGCTGCCTGTTGTTCCCCCAGTGTCCCAACAGTTGTACTCATCACTGTTGGGTAAATTTGTCCCCAGTTCTAATGGGTCCAAGTTCTAATGGGCCCTAGTTCTAATGGGCCCCAGTTCTAATGGGCTGCTGTCCTAATGGGGTTAAGCCCTCATGACTACCAGTTCTTATGTACTGTA